TAGTTTGATTGTGAGTATCAAATTTTAGTTAAAATTATTCATTCGAATTTGAATATTTCATGTGACTAAAATCAAAAGAAATTGTTCGATAAAATTTGTAATCTAATAAAATTATAAAAGTGTTCTAATAGGTCTAATGATCTTAGTATAGTAGTTTGGTTGCCAGACCATCATATAAGAGGTCTGAAGTTCAAATCCCACTGTCGACGAATTTGAATAATTACCTAAACCTTTGTACCCAACTTATAGTAAACTCTGCTCGTTTCTGAGGGTTACAACCCTGTAAATCATATTGCACCAATGTCAATCAGACATTAGAAGTGTGATGCAATACTTGAGTTATGTTACATGAATAAATCTTGATAGGATCTATGAGCAGTAGACCTGTATGGTAGAAATTCTAAGTTTGGTGAAGTAGTACAGATTTCAATAGTCAAGCTAGTTAACACCTAATCTAGTAAAAAATCTGAGTATGAAGGATGTGAGATCGATAGATATGAGTAATTCTGCTATATAATGCGGCCTAGAACCTTGCATTAGCAGCAACACCAACTTGGTTTGGCAGCTAACTAGATTGGGAGGATCTACCTTATGAAACATCCAGCTAGAACTTAGAGGACTTTATCTGGTAGATGGCTATAGCAAGAACTAGGTTTGTACGAACATTGACAAGGGTCTAATCTAGGTGAATCTGTGAAATAGGAAGATGATCACTCTGGTAGGAATTACTTCCAAGGTTAACCAGAGCTCTGTGGCTCACAATATGTTAGATATACATATCCTGAGAAGACCTAAGCTATGCAGAGAATAAATCTACAGATGAACTAACTAGCTTAAGTAGTTAATCATAGTGGTGACGTTAGTTTGGAATGGAGGGAAGGTTTAATGATCAGAGTGTTTAAATAGGTAATTCACAGGCAGGTTGCAGGTATAGCAGTATAGTGTAGAACCAACAGATAGTCGATTGTCTGTATAGCGGACTACTTAAATTAGACAATGACTAAAGTTGTATATGTGGCTTGTTGTACACTCATCATGTAACTATAAAACTTTAAGAAACTGTTCATGTAATAGTTCTGTAATAACAAACTAATAAAATCTAATCAGCCAAGGAAGTAGCCTTAATAATATAAAAAAAAAAACAACAGAAGTTCAACTAATAACGATAATAATATATTTGTTTCTGTATGCAACATAGATTAGTATCTACAATAAAATTATATGCAGTCAGACTTCTCTAAGTGTACCCATCAGGACCATAATAAAAAAAAAAAACAAAATATGTACTTAAAGAGAATGTGCATTCAGAAAAAGTAAAAGGAAGTTTCAAGAACACGGAACCCAGTGATCATCATATCACACTCGGCCTAAGTTAGGGTTAGGGTTAGTTTAGGCGGCCGGTTTATTAGTGCTGGTAAACAAATGACGTCATTGCATGATTTCACGTGATGTGATTATCACTGGGTTCCGTGTTCTTGAAGTCTCCCAATATAACTAATAAATTGAGGCCATACTACGTATACACATAGCGATAGAATGTATTTATGATAACCAGCCAATCAAAATTACGAAAAAAACAATGGTCATCGGCCAATAAGATGGATATTCAACCATGCTGTTTTATTCGCCTACCTTATAAACTTAATATAATCGTGTCAAGGTTAAAGAAATTGTTCAATCTTTTGTTTTTTTCTGCATACATTAAATAAGATCACAATAAGTAAATTAGCATAATTTAATATACTTGGAATATTTTAATGATTATCGGGATTCACTGATAAGAGTAAACAATGAATGGCAATACATTAAAAAAAAAGAATGTTAATGCTGTAATAATAGATTAACATCGACATCAAGTTCGCTAATTATATGTATAAGAAAACTCGAGAACGATCAATAAACTTAATCCATGGCAAATTATTGCCGTATTTCAAAAAGGACGATATGTTAACGCTTCACTTTTCTGGATCTTCTTGTGGCAGTTGGCTTAGAATAGTTTTGTTTTGTGCCTTTGCCATAATTTGTTATACGTTTATTTCGTGACTGCTTTAAATATATAAATGTTTGATTAGCATCAAAGACATTCTGATTCAAAGACCTCATAGCTAATCTGCTCCTTCTGCAAAAGCCAATCAAATTCATATAACTTACGTCTGACTTTTTAGGGTTCGTGGAGAGTTTATCCGAATCCCCCCTAGTGTTTGTGATAGAATTATTTATTGTAGGCTCATCTCTTGTTCACAAAAAAAAAAAAAAAAAAGAAGATATTTAGTTACAATAATAGAAAGAATTATAAAGCATTAAAGATTGAAATTACTTGTCATTGAGTGTTTTTGTTATATTAGATTCGACGGATCTCGCTGATTGTGCCGAATTTGTAGCTTCAGCTAACAAAAGAGGTAATAAATTCCGTGGCTTTATATCCCTACTATAAGAAATATATATCAAATGTAGGAATCGAGAATCAATTTGATACAAAATATCTATATGGGTAATTACCTAACTCACATTTTGAACTCTTCATTGTCGTCATCATCGTATTCATAAAATTGTGGTGGAACAGGATATCTTCTCCCGCGGCTTTAGCAAATTTAATGTAATAATATTTATTACTACGGAGTTAATATATATACGATCACACTGTGGTGTTCAACACCAGTA